TATATATATATATATAAAAGAGTATGATTTTGATACAACTTTCTTTCAAAGAACAAAGCATCTCATTAACGCAAAACAGGAAACGTGCATATAAATGGAAAAGGAAATTAATTAAAGCCCCTAAACTGTTTTATTTAAGCGTAATAAAATGCTTGCTGAGGCTTTTATCTGCGGACGTAAATTGAGACACAAACGAGGAAAACAGTCATATAAATTGCGGGTAGGTAAATTTATGTCGCGAGTAGGTACTAATTTGTCTAATGGTCGTGCCGGCTTGAATGTCTTGCGTTTTAATGCTCTCTTACACAGAACATACAGCAGAAATACCTCCGCGTCTCCAAGCGTTCTTCTTTACGGCATATATAATATCATATATAAATATGTAATGTACATGTGATGTATACATACGATAATGTATGTATCGACGTAAACCTTAATTTGCCTTATCTAAATTCCTAAATTTTCTAAACCATTTAAATTTAACAAAATAAAGGAAGCTTTTCTTTTTTTGCGCTAATTATATCTGTCTAGTTTTTCTAATTTTTAACTAGCTGAGTGTGTCTCACTCATTTTGATCTTGAAAAATTAAAATATGTAAAGTTTAAAAATCCGTTCCGGTTTTAATGCTATAATGAACAGCACGACCGCTTTCGCGCGCGCATGAAAGAGAAAAGCCAGAGACGATATGCAAGACGACCGTGCGGTAATGTGCAATCGGTGTCCAAGTGGTATGCTTGACGTTTTATGAATGTAGGCAAGTAGGCTCCCGCCGATCAACGCTCGACCGCACGCGCGCACACGTGGAGTCCAAGTCAAAAGGATCAACCGGTTAGCCGGGCGCGGCCGCCGGCTATTCGTCCAGTTTGTGAATCCAGTACTTTGTGTATATGATTTTTGTACGATAATATCTAAAATCGAACGGTTACGATAATGAGATCGATTTCTTGAAATTTTTCTCCAAGTCGCTTCTCCAATCAATTTTGTCGTGAAAGAATAAAAATGTTGAAGATACGTTTGTTAAGACAATCTGCGTTCAGTAGTTTCGATTTTTTTTCAATGAAACATATTTAACATTGTAGTCCAAGAATTAACAGTGTCTCAAATATATAATTAATTGCCTTTATACATAGATGCTAGATCAGAAGCAGTCTGGAGAGACAGCCGCGAAAACCACAAAGTCATTAGATCATATCATATATTATATTATTCTGCTTCTGCAATTCGTGTCACAATAAACCACGACACCTGTTCTTTCTCTTACGAGTAGCTTGTACTCGAATAAAAATCACCAGCTGTTTATCCGTCTCCCGTTTCGCACTAACCATGAATCGGACATACCGAAGATACGGCATGATGCCAAATACGTATAACGGTTCAATCGATATTGTAATTCCGAAGTCGGGCATTCGCATAATCAGCAACCTAATAGCGACCTATATAGAAAAGACCTAGACACTTTTCTGTTTCCTTGTCCCCCTTTCTCATTATCTTCTCTTTCACATAACGGACATCCAGAAAGATGTCGCGTCGTAAATAATATATCCACTAACATGCAAAAAAAAGTCGAACGGATTGATGCATCGACGAATTTATATGTTAGTTTGTTTTAGACTCTAATAGATTTATTAACATCGTTCATTTAACATTGTTCATAATTTTTTTTATTTTCTTTTTTATTTTAGATCTCATTTCGCTTAATTATCTCGCTCTAAAGATTCTACATAACGGTGTACCAATTAGACAGTGATCTCTCAAATTTAACAATACTTAATCATGCATTGAAAATCGCGATCTCTTTAATAAATTAAAACGGAACATCGTACTTGGATATATCCGATCGCAAGAATAGCAATAGGCAATGTAATAATACACGGAGAGAATTTTTTCTTAGAATTTATCCTGAAAATATGATAGTCGATGGGACAACATTATATTTCAAAGACTTTGTAATGTAAATTCTCTCATTCATAAATTAATAAAACTATAACAAAATATAAAATAAGTTTGATTAATTTTACTGAAGTGCATAGTAAAAACTTTTAAAATATTATATTGTACCACAACTATCATATTTTCAGGATTTTAAAAATTTTTTAAAATTTTTTTTAACATTTGAAAGAAAATTCCGTGTTCGCACACAATCTATTATAAACTAATTATTTTGTAATACAGCGGTAATTAAATGTAATAAAAGTAGTCCAACTCGATCTCTTCTCTTTACATTTTGTATGCGATCGAAAGAGAGAACACGTATACATAAGAGATAAAAAAAATCAATTTTTAATAAATAAATAAATAAAAATTTATGCCTGACATAAATCTCAATATAAAAGTGTCAATTTACAATTTATGAATATTTCACACAAATTTGTTAATAAGAGTAACAAAACTTTGCAAATTGACGTAATTTTGCAATTTAAATAACAGTATATACTTTAAAGCCGTTCTGTCAACAATACGGATCTATTCTTCTTATTCGGTAAACACACGCCGCGCACACGCGTAATTGTACATATTATAAAAAATTCACGGTCCACTTCTTTTAATATGCTCCACCTCGTTTGGTTCCATCGTTTGCACAATGGTACACGAAATTACACGCTTTTTAATTATCGTGCAGTTTTAATTGATAAAATAGCAGTCGATTGTGCAACAATGTTTCTCCTCTCGTTTTACATACATGTGCCACACATTAATTCTTCTTTACATTTGTATTTACCCAATTGTAACAATAAATGCGAAAAATGATAATATATTAAAAAGAATTTCTACCGATCTTATAGAACAGGTCTCTTATAGAACAGGTCCGTCGGACAATATTGCGCAGCCGTAACATGTTCGCTGAAGTGGAAACGGTCACCACGTGGTTGACTGCGTATCGTGCCGCATCTCCTACAAGCGCGACGTATAATTTCTCTCAATGAGCCTGTACCCGGCCGTTATTAACGCATTAACGAGGCGCGAAACGATGACGTGCGACTCTCTCTTGCCTCTAATAACTTAATCAGTGACGTAGCGCTAATTGGATTACGTCCTGTGCAACGTAGCTGGTCGTTAACCGCCGTACGTACGTCCGCTGGACTCAAGAAGCGCGTTTAATAGCCACGAATTATCTATAACGATGTTTTCATCGTACTCACGCGAGAAACCGTAGAATATTTGGGAATTTAATTCACGGTATTACATGTATTATAATTAGGATTGAGAGTTAGCAAAATAAATGCATGTCCGAAATAACGCACAGAGATGCATTTCACAAAGGTAATATCTTAGCCATTTTTCTCATATCGTAGAAAAAATTCTTTCCTGATATTAGTTTAACGTGTAATCCCAAATTTATGAATGACAGATAATGTTTTACCGATTTTTTTTTTTTGAAATTAATTAAATGGTTCAAGGCAAAATGAATAAAACAGTTTAAAAATAGCAATACGAATGGTAGATAGAGTGACTGAATACAATATCTTCTAACTTAATATTGGCGACGCGATGATATCTTACTTTTTTGAACCGATACAGCCCAAGCAAATCCGGATGCGAGTAGTTGTCAACGTGCTCGATTCTCCTTCGGATGTCAGACGAACGAAGAACTGAATGAATCGCTACATCGATCTCTAAATCGTTGTTGAACGTTAGTTCCTGGGGCACATTCGCTCGATTTCGCACGCTCCAATGGTTCGCGAATATTAAATGATGAGATTGACAAGCGTATCTGTATAGTAAAGTGCAAAGTTTCGATATTCCCTCGGACTCTAGACCTCTATAAGAGGCTTCGGAAGCTTCGTGCGCGAACGACTGATCACCTCGTGATGATGCGATACTCCGCGATGCCCGATCGCGACAGCTAGAGAAAGAGACGCGCACGGGACAGCGTGCGATCGCCGGTCTCGGAGGTGCACGCGAGAACTCGAAGAGTCGGAATAGGGTACACCTGTCCGATATACGGAGTATACTACAAACGTAGCGGCCCGCCCCCTGACCCAGACAGCCGGTACAGTTATATAGGTCCCTCGCGCGGAGCAGAGGATATCTCTCCTCGTTCTCGCCGTGAGTCTGTGACTTGATGAACGACGCTGATGTATATGTTTGTGAGGAGCAAGAAAGAATGTACGTACCCTACGTGTATTTCGATAATACTCTATCGCTTAGGGCAAAAATGTGATATCAAGCACAAGATAATGTTGATGTCGCCATGGGCGACTTTAATGGAGTTCGATGATTGT